TTTACTGGCCTGGGTTTCGAGAGTTTCTGTCTCCCTCTCTCTCTCTTTTTTTTTTTTTTTTTTTTTTTGAGTCTTAGGAAGTAATTGTAGTACCGGAGTGGAAGGGAGGGAAAAATGAGTTTGAGAACATCTGATAGGCCAAAGTCATTAGACATCAGAAGTTTGAGCTTTTTTTTTTTCCTTTTTTGCTTTTTAGCAAAAAGCAAGTCACATCTCTTTGCAGCTGCTGGGGGATGCGTCTGTTAAAGGAGTGATTTTTTTGCGCTCACTTGCATTTGCAGCCACGAATGAGCACAGGTTGGGAAAGCAGGTTCGCAAAGGCTTTATTTTCTTTCATTTTCTTTTTTTTTCTGTCCCCAAAAGTGTAAGCCAAAGCAAACTTTGACCAACTATCCGAAATAGGGAAAGATGCAGGGTGTAAATTATGCATCAGCTATCTTGAGACCACAGTAAGTAGCAATGAGTAACATGGTAAGTCACGTTGGTATCAAATCTACTTCTCTTTTCTTCTTCCAGTCAATAGTTTCCATACTGTATGAGCACGTCTCGGACAAAGACTTCTTTATGGGAATACTTACAGAAAGTTTTTGACCAGAGTTGGGAGGTTGCTAACGAATTTACATTGCAGTCAAATAACTGTAGCTTTGGAGGAGGGGGGGGGGAGGATTTTCTCTTCCCAATGGGAGAAAAAAATTAGGCATGATTTATTGAGAAGAGTTCAAGTACAGGATTAACCTAAATCAAAATATAACTTCAGATGTTTACATAGACCAGCTAAAGCCAACTTTCACAACTCCAAGGTTTTGATTTGGGCACAATCGCTGCAATATATTCGGTCACGGAATGACTCTTCGCATAACCCTAAAATCCATTTTAGTAACCCAAAACACATCTCACAAGTCTTGAGCTTTGTCCGTTTGCCTGCTGAAAACGCCGTTAAACGTGTTAACTGTTTTCATTATATCAGGCAAAGGAGCGCGCACCGCGAAGCAAAAGGCGATGGGTTTGGAAGGGTGTTTTTTAAATAATTTTTTTAACTCGCACTTTACTGTTTCTGATGGGGGCAATTCTGGTAGCCTGAAGTCCTTCACGTGAAAACGGCTCCGGTGGAGATGCCAGCATAAACCCACCACCCTCTTAGGTGGATATTTCTGTATATAATTGCAAAGAAGGCACAAGGAGGGAAAGGTTCTGTGGTCTCCGCTAGCTTTTCCTTTTCTCTGTTGCTAAATTAACAAAATAGAGAAGTTTATTCCAGACGGGGCAACTTCATCTTATGTGCACAGTCATATCAGAGCAACTTCCCGGAGCAAAACAAGACCTTTCCCCCCTCTCAAGTTCGGCCGGATGTATTTTTTTTTTGCTAAGAAAGTAATACAGATTTTATTTTACTTTATTTTATTTTATTTCACTCCACGCTCTAAGCTTTTCCATTCGCCTCGCATTCACGGCTAGGAAATGAAATAGGTTCAAAATGAACCGGCTTCAATGTTCTGGATGCCTATAAGGGATATGCCTTAAAGTCGTCTGACTTTTTTTTTTTTTTTTAAGGGGAACCAAAAGGAATGCGAGACGCCAGCCCTCATTCGGTTTTATGGTAGTCACTTTGGTGGTCAAATTCAAGTGCTGTGACTCCACAGCTGTCTCTTCTGTGCTCCCTTGCAGGAAGCGGGCAAATCCTCTCCTTTAAACTGGGTTTAAAACACAAAACGACACCGGGGCTTGTTTCAGAGGCATTTACCTAAGAGGAGCAATGAATTATTCATACACCTAGACGTCGAGTGTTATGCCACACATGTATTTTTGTTTTCTTTTCGGGTTTTTTTTTTTGGGGGGGGGAGGGTGTTTTGTTTTGTGTTTAAGGAGCAGCTCTGATCCTTTTTGCTAGCAACACGCTCGATTCCTGCCCTGGATGCAAAGCTTGATGCCTGCAACCTTCCTAGGGAATCTGCATTGAAATGGCTATGGGAAAAATGTATATTTAATACCCTTTCGCGTTTTAATCGGAGTTAGAATATTCCTCGTGCAGGTTGCAAACAGGAGGGAATTGGGGAAAAAATAATTGCGCTCATAAACAATAGCTTAACATTATTAGTTTGTAGTTAGTATTAATATTGGTCCATAAAAAGCCAAGTTAAAAGAATGCTGACACTTTAATTAAAAGTTTTGCCCAAAATGACGTCCAAGTCATAAAATAGGGCAGATTACAAACCCAAGAAATCCATCTCGCCAGTAAGACTCCTTGCCTCTGTATTCATCAGCCAAACCGTGCATTAGAGAGAAAAAACACAGCTCATTTTGGAATTACAGACATATTTATATGAGTGTATATATTTATCTCCGCACACACACATTCAGAGAGACACGCACGCCCCGATCCCTTATAAAAAGAGTTTTATGAGAACGGCTCTCCTTAAATAGAAAACACAAAGCTAGAGGGGGGGGAAGAAAGCCATCCATAAATAAAAATAAATAAAAATGAATGCATTGTTGCCTTAGGAGGAGGAAAAACGCTCAAAGTGAGGAAGAGCACACAGTCTTAGCATGTGAAGCCGCCATGTTTCCCGTCAAGGATTCGGGAATAAATACATGGAAATCCGGGCATCCTGCCTGATAAGCACCACAGTGTTGAAAGCCCTCCTGCAATATCCACTGTAATTTTGCTCTGTGATCTTTAAATCTTCTGCTCTCTGCTCTGCTGCAAGACACGGACTTGCCAGCCTGGCTTTTTTCAATAAAAATGAACTTTTTTCTTCTTTTGCTGTGCATTGCTTCAGAGTTGCAGGATATCTATATATTTTTGTTTTATCAGTGCCTACAATCTTCGTGCGATTGCGTGAGGTGCATTTTCCTCCTATTTTCTGGCAACATCGCCTAGGAATTAAGTAAGCCCCGGGTTAAAACGGGGCGGCAAACATAACATAAGGTTATGCGAAATGCAATGAAATAAAATGCGAAAATTTGAACAAGGAAAATGAAAAAGGACCTGTGCAGGGGTGCCCAGCTCCAAGAGGGACTACCTCGAGCAGGACTGGGAGGCTCTGATGCTCCTTGCTGGTGAATTGGTTATTATTGGGCTGAGCCTGGGAACTGCATGTGGGGAGCGAAGCGAAACACCGCAGCCCTCGAGGCTTTCCCCCGTCCCAACGATATACCCAGGGTCGAGGATTTGCCTTTTTTTCTCCTTGCTGTTTGATTTGCCTGCAAATCGATTTGACAAGATAGGCTCGATGAAAGCATCTCACTCCCTCACGGTGTGGGAGTCTTGCTGGCAGGACTCAGTCACCAAACTGAGCCCATGATAGAGTGAAGTTCGGGTTTCTGTGCAGACAATTCAATATTTTTGTTTATTCTTCTTTTCACTGGGTGTTTGAAAAAGGCTAGTTTAAGAGGGAGGGGGAAGCTCGATGGCATCCTGTAAAGAAAAGGGGGGAAAAAAAGAGAAGAGTGTGTGTGTGCACTGCATTATTTTCATATAGAGACGGAAACAGCCACCTCGGTTTGAAATGGAAATGGTGCGAACCATATTTTCCACCTCAGCCGGCTGATTTCTAACCCAGGTGAAAAAACGATCAGCCCACAGTTGTTGCAATGTATCTCGGACAATTTTGTTCCTAGAAGACTTTTTCAGATCAGCCCTAGCCTGGGCTACCTTTCGGGAGCGCTGGCAGCTCCGAGGTTCCCCGTCTTTCAGGTACACCTTTCCACATTGTTCGGAACAGAGATTTTAGGCTACCAATTATTTGGGAAACCCGCAAAATATCTGGCAGCACTTCCGTACCACTGTTTGCTTGGTGTCTACATGCAGAAATACAGAGAAACAGGGAGCTCTCGGGGCATGCAAGGGAAGACGAATGGCTTTAATAAGAATATCTTTTTTAATTCAACTGGAAGAATAAATGATGATAGTATCCTGCAAATACATTCATTGATTGACAATAAACAATTGCATTAAATATTCAATGTGCCACTCTTCCATAATAAATATTTAACAAAACATTAAAGGAGGTTTTCGAATATTTATTAGGCAGTGACTTAGTTCATTTGTTCTATTCCTTGATATATTACTAATTCGATATCAAAAGGCATTAAAGGCAGGCCTACGTTGCGTCGGAGATAACTTTAAAGTTTGAAACTTTACACGATCCCCCCCCCAACACACACACTGTCATTGCTTAAATAGTATATTCTCTATAAACCCTGCCAAGCTGCTTGATGTATAGTTGATGTGCACATAGAGCTCAACATAATTAGCGTATGTTAGAAGCTTGTTAATTAGCACCAGCCCCCTCACTCCCCGATAGATAGATAGATAGATTCACTTCTAATTTAGCAGCCCAGCTGTACGAAGAGCTGCGCATTCCCCACTGCAGCGAGATTTCGAGAAATGTTGGAAAACTTACTTCTGCTTCTCCAGCGATTTCCCTGTGATTTTATTGAACACTTCTAAGATATGGCTAGGATAGAAAGAGTCATAAGAATAAATTATAATAATAACCGTAATTATGAAAGAGGGTGGAAAGATACAGTTCCATCTCCCTAAGACCCTCCCTCTCCCCCCCCTTCCCAGCCCAAATCGCCCCCTCCCCGTACCCAAGTCCTCGAAGGGGGGAAAAAAAGGCAGCAGAATCCGAATAGGAAGGAGGTAGGAGGAAAAAAAAAAACCCAGCAACTTCACAAGCCGCCCCTTGTACTTGTCCTGCTTTGAATGCTTACAAGGGGTGTGCCTTCGGGAAAATGAATACAAATCTGCGATTGATTTTCATAATGTTTCTGCGGTGTTGGCACACCAATCGTTTGAACCTCTGCGATCTTACCTAAGTGAACCACTCCTACGCATCTAAGTGCTCCAAACTGATATATGACAATATCTACTTTGGATCACGTGGCCGCCGGAGCGACTAAGACGGATAGCGCGTCATCTCGCCTTCCCAAATTTTTTCCCCTCCGCACATCGGCTCCCAAACCTCAAGCCCTAGGAGCGCGGAAAAAGGCGAAAGATGTTTAACTCGGTGAACCTGGGCAACTTCTGCTCGCAGTCGCGCAAAGAGCGGAGCGCTGAGTTTGGCGAGCGGGCAGGTTGCGCCTCCAACCTCTACCTCCCCAGCTGCACCTATTACGTCCCTGAATTTTCCACCGTGTCCTCCTTCCTGCCACAGGCCCCCTCTCGCCAAATCTCCTACCCGTACTCCGCCAACCTCTCGCAAGTGCCGCCCGTGCGGGCGGGCTCC